CTAGTTGAGATTTACTTAAACTATAAATTATAATAAAAGTAGGTGCCAACCTAGTTGGGATGTACTTATGCTATAAATATTTGATAATAGTAATTAGAAATGCATTTAGTTGTTATTTGTTTAAGTTAAATTTAACTTTGTAAAGTTATAAATAATTCATGTAACATTAAATTTGAATTCTACGTAAACTTTCTTGGTATAAATATGAATTTATCGTATTGTTCAATTCTTAATTTACATTTAAAAAAAAAATTTGTTATAAATATGAAAAATTCTATATTTTTATAATTTTATTTATACAATAATACGGGTCAAATCGGAACAAATCGCGACCCGTGTCCCGCATGGGCTCAATCCGGATGGGTCAGCGGGTGGGCCTGAGTTGTAGTCCAAAATTTGTGGGCCGACCCAGAACCGGCCCGGAACCCGTAGTGGGCGGGTTTTTTTCACGTGGGTCGTTACCGGGCTCATATGTTGGCGGACCAACCCGACCCAAATCATTCAAATTGACACCTCTAACATTTAATTATAGAGAGTGAGTTTGACTTTTCGAATTTGAAGAGTCAAACTCACCATCTAAATTAAAATGTTAATTTAAAGAATATCTTAGAAATACTCTAAACTTTAACATGTTTTGTGCACTACAATCCTAACTTTTTAGGCACAATACCCCAGATTATCTAAGCCTTGTAGAACACAACTTTTTCATCCATTTTATTCTCAAGCCTGGTAAAAGGATAAATTTATTCGCATTTTTAAATAAACAAAAAGAAAAGAAGCATTTTTAAATAAACAAAAAGAAAAGAATAAAAAATTAAAGAATTAATTGCAGTCATAATCCTAAAATTTTTAAAAAGTGCAATCAAGTCCTAAACAATTAAAAAAAACACTCTTTCTTTCCCAGCCGACCACACCTATCCCTACCTTACCTTTTCCTCCTCCTCCACCAGAGAAGGGAGAATTACTTACTCTGAAAGCAATCCTAAGATCTTCAGTTCTATAAAAGAAGGTCAAAAGCTATATTATTCCTAATGAGTACTAAAGAATTTGCTTGGAAAGATATTGGGCTCTTTACATCGTCCACTTCCACCCAAACTTATTTTAAAGTCGTGTTTGGAAAAAGTGGTATACTCTGAATATGAAATCTATGTCCACTTGACACAACTATCGATTTTCTATCTTTAAGAAGATTATTGAAAAACATTGCTAGACTCGCTCCTCTTTGTTTTCTTGCTACAATACCTCAGAAAGAAACTTACTTTAGATCCCTTATATAAAAGAAAAATATTAAAGTGACCTAATACACGTGTAAATTTTTCAAATGATCTCTATATAAATACCCCAAATTTATTTGTTGGCACTTCATTGTGAAGGTCGAACCGCAAAAAAGGAAAAGATGTAGGCCACGTTTGATCCACCCTAATTTTCCATGGAAAATGGAAAAGAGACTTCATCTTTCACTTTTGGCATGTTTGATACACTTTATTTTCTTGGCAATTCATTTTCTTTTTTTTCCTCACACGTGCCATTTCTTGGTTTTGAAGGAATTCCATTTCCCATGGTTTTGGTGGGAAATGGTTTTCCATCTTTTCTTTTTTTGGCAATGACACCAAATTTTATTTCCAATTGTAAAAAAAAAAAATTCTCTTTAATGGATAATTTTTATAAAAAAGAACAAAATATCTAAAATATAAATATTTTCCACGTGGAAAATTATATCAATCAAACACAATTAATTGACAATTTTCAGGAAAACAATTTTAGGCAATTCAATTCCCTAAAATTTATTTTCTTTCCACTCAAATTTCACTCTTACATTTAAACGGACCCTTAGATCCTGTTTGATACAAGCATTTTTCCATAGAAATGGAAATCATTTTTCATTTTCTATGGAAAAAATGCTTGTATCAAACATGACCGTAAAGTAAATATAGTATGAGCCATAATTATTATATGTCCATAATTTGTTAAATTTTGAACCAGAAAAAAGTATTGAAATAGGATAATTATAAGTTTTAAGCATAGCCAAGACCCAAACATGTGCTAAGTTATCTTTTTATATAAAAACAAAAATTACTTATTTATTAATTTTCACTTATTTTCAATTATTCTCCATGAAATTATTTTCTTCTTGTTTTAATGTTTTTTGGTTTTCCAACTTTTTTTAAAATATATTTTTTTTGACAATAGTAACAAATGCTAAACCCAATGGTAAAAAAAAAATTATCACTTTAATGAAATTTTTTCATGAAAAGCAAAGTCAAATGGATACCAAATTTTCAACATTTTTCAAGTGAAAAATTATACTAATCAAATACAATTAATTACAATTCTCAGTAAAACAATTTCAAAGCAATTCAATTCAATTACCTAGAATTTATTTTCTTTCCACCAATTTTCCACATTTGCAATCAAACGGACCCTTAATTCATCTACAATCGTATGTTCTCCTAATAAAATAAGTTTTTGTTTGATCTCCATTATTTAAAAAATATATTTTTCCAATAACGCATTTTTCAATAAAATAATATTACACGCAAACCTAAAATTTTTCTTAATTCTTAAATGTACATTTTTCATCAAATTATCATTTTAAAATATATTTTGATAAAAGAATTTGGCTCAAAGAGGCCTAATTTTAGTATTTTACATGTAATATTCTTAAAAAGAATCAATTTTTTTTTTTTCCAAAATTTATGCCAAAGAAATTTCTACCGAACGTGCTAATCACGCTCCTTAAAATGATGTCCATTATTGTCGAGTCTTTTGATCTTACAGTCTCCTCACGCTTCCATCTTCTCCGTAACGATCTCCTCCACTCCATTAATGGAGGAACTCATAAAGCCCCTCTTTCTCTCTCTAAAATGCCTTAGCCCTTAGGAATTCACGCCTCACTACAAGTTAAATACTACTGCCAGTGATGGCTGCTCTTTCAGTAGAAAACTATCCCCCTCTGCTCTTTTCTAGGGTTCTTCATCTGAACCTTTTCCACCCCTTTTTTTCTCTGCATTTTTAGCTCTCTCAGGGTCCCATTTGTCATTTTCTCTGTATTAAAAACCCTTTCATCAGAAATCTCCTGTCACTCTACCTATAGCATTTATTGCGATTTTTTTCACAATGTCGCCACCATGGTTCACTGATTCAGCAGCGGGGTTGAACCGTTCGGTTCGTCCTGCACAACCCACCTACCTGCCACGTTTCCGCCGTGACGAGAACGTCACGATCAATCCCTCCTTCAGTGGCCGTGGCCGAGGCCGAGGTCGTGGCTGTGGAGGAGGTCGTAGACGCGGCCAGGGACGTCGCGGAGGCCGTTCTGGTGGATATTTCCACGATCAAAACCCCAGCAGCTTCACATTTGGTATCTCTGAGAAATTCAACGAGTTGGAGGTTACCCAAGAAGTAGATGACTCTTCAGAGTTGAATGCAAGTGCGTATGATGACACGCCCGTGGAAGCGTCTGGCACTGACATACCCCCGCCCGTGATGTCGTTTTCTGAAATCTGTTTCAGCCAGTCTCTGATTGACAACATAAAGAGGTGCAAGTACGTGAAGCCCACGCCCATACAGAGGTACGCCATTCCGGTGGCCATGGCTGGGAGGGATTTGATGGCATGCGCCCAGACTGGGTCCGGCAAAACGGCAGCGTTTTGCTTTCCCATTATCAGTGGGATTCTTATGGCTAATCAGAAGAACAATAGTTTTGGTTATCCTCGCAGCATAGCCTGTCCACTGGCTCTAATATTAGCTCCTACAAGAGAGCTGTCCTGTCAGGTGATTGCTTCTTCTTTGAGTTCATTATTTTCTTGCTTTTTTTCCAGGAACTTTTTCATTTCTCTGTCTTCCTGTAATAAATAATGATTTTTTTTTTTTTTTT